TGTGTTTTGTTTGGTGCGGAGTTAATTGCTGATACTCATGGGTATAGGCCAAGCCGGACTGGGTCCCTTGCAAGAGGATGTGCGCCTGAGCTCGGGCAGGATTGATTACCCTCCCATGCAATAAGGAAAACATATGAGCATAGGGCTAGTCGGATTGAGTCCTATACGTGAGTGTATGATTTTCGAGTATGTTGTTTTCCTTTAGATGCATGTTCTTTCGTATTTCCGAGGACGGAATTATTTTAAGGAGGATAGATTGTAACGTCCCGTTCGATTTATGGAATTTCTCAGAATATTCTATTTATCGATTATTATTTATAAGAGTATAATTATTTTATTAGTCGCATTGTCGACTTAAATAAAAGTTGGAAATACTCGATCGTTTCATTGGAAAACGAAACATTATCTTTAGGCGATTTCTGTTTAATCGCGTAAACCGAATTTAATCCGTTTAAATTATGTATTTTTCCAAATTATTTATTTATCGACATTTTTTATTGCTATGCCTTATTTATTTGTAAATGAGTGCATATTAAATTATTATATTTATATGATAACTTGGTTATGCTATTTTGTTCGTCGTTAATCGAATTATTCGGAGGATTTCAGTTTAATCGCGTAGGCTAATTTCGATTCGTTCTCGTTTTTCCTCGAACTTTTGATCCGACCTTGTCATCAATTTAACTCGGACCTTAGAGTAATGCAATTCAACCCTTTTGTTTAGCACTCGGCCCAAACATGTTAGAAACCGACCCCGTACTCCACATTTCAATTGGAGTAATTTTTAATTCCAATTCCTTGTTATCTCACCTTTGAATTCATATTCTTTAAACCTAATTAAAGGGAAATAACCAATATTCATCAAATCCCTTAATTGATGCCAATTATATCTTTTAAATTGAGCATGATAAGTTTTATGTTTAACCATCAAATTTTTCTTACTAAAGAGGGCACCTCCTCCTCCCTCATAGCACGAGTTTTACTCTCCCCATCAGAGTGAAATATTTCTTTTGTCAAACTCTAAGTCAGCAAACATAAACCTCAGATCGCCGCCTCCATCTTTTAAACCCTTGTCGTCGCACCACATTGCCACGCCGAGGAACCGCGCAGCAACCTGCCAA